TGGTGGTGGGCACAGTTCAGCCCCACCACATAACAATATAACATAACATAACACATTAGCAACAGTGTTAAATGCAATTTTCTGTTGTGTTGAGTTCCACCAGAGGCTCCATGGACTGGGCCAGATGCTCAGATCGCCTCAGAAATGGCACAATGGTTCTCTTCCAGCAGCCACCATGCACCCACCTCCCTCCGCTCCCTGAGCCAGGAGCACGAGGCTCCCTAGGGAGGATGTGTTTGGAGAGAGTTGCTGTGCTTCTGTCTTACCTTGGGTCAAGGGAAGCATTTTGGGAGACTGACACAAATCTTCAGGAGTCTGAAGGTCGCAAGGAGCCCGAGGCTATGGGTGGTGGGTGGAGGACAGGCCAGAACCTGTGCTGAGAGGTGGGAAAAGTTGTGTTTCCTGCCCATCACTAGCTTGCCTCACAGTTTCTCAATCTCAGCTCTGTGGACTTTGTGTCTGTGTGAGAAGGGGGCTTGTCCTATACATTGTAGGATGTTTAGTGGCATCTTGGCTTGCTCCTTCTTAATGCCAGCTTCCCTCCTCCCCTTTGTGACAACCAAAAATGTCTCCAGGCATTGCCAAAATCCCACGGGGGCAGAATGGCTCTGGTGGAGAACCTCTGGTGTATCCCATGGAGGCGAGCTATCCTGGGTGAACTTTTTTTTTTTTTATAAATTAATTTTTATTGGTGTTCAATTTACCAACATACAGAATAACACCAAGTGCTCATCCCGTCAAGTGTCCCCCTCCGTGCCCGTCACCCATTCACCCCCACCCCCCGCCCTCCTCCCCTTCCACCACCCCTAGTTCATTTCCCAGAGTTAGAAGTCTTTATGTTCTGTGTCCCTTTCTGATATCTCCTGGGTGAACTTGAGATGCACTTTGGCCAAGAGGATCACTTGGGGGTCGGATGGGGAGGTGGCCCTACATGGGGAAGGACCATAGAGTCCCTTAAACCCCTTAAACCCTGTGGAGGGCAGTGCAGGGGAGAGCCCTCCATCAGCAGGTGGAACGGGATAGGCAGTCTCTGAAGAACCCAGCCTGTGAGTGACAGCCTCAGCACCTGGAGTCTGTCTCCTGCAGTGGCGCCCAGGCCAGAATACACAGTAATCATCCTGTGAGAGATCTCTGGTGGGAGGCAAGTGTGGGGCAAGCTAGCTGAGTCAAGTAATTTCATTTCCCCTGACCACAGGCTTCCAAGCAGCAGGCAGGCCCTACTGAGAGAAGAAACATTTCCAGTGGCTTATAGTGTTATTTAGAATTTGGACAGGACTGGGTGTTTTTTTTTTTTTTTTTTTTATTAACTGAGAGGGACAGGAAGAGCTTTGGTGTCTGCTTGGAGCTTCACCTAGGGGCCGAGAGAGAGCTTTGTTAACAGAAGGAACATAAGACATACAAGAGAATACATTTGGTTTCTTGCCTGTATCCTGTGGAGGTCAGCTGATTCAGTAAAGCAGGAAAGGAAAGCGTGGGAAGGATGGAAAGATTCTAGAATCCATTTTTTTAAAAAAAGGATTGGAAGTTTTGTCTGTTGTGTTTTCCTGATCATCTGTGCCTTTCGTTGTGTTTTGTAACTCCACACGTTGTAGAGTTGAGATAAATGCCAATGAGTTTTGTCCAGTGGAATGCAATTAATTGCTGCTGCCAGGAAATCGACTCTTTCTGTACCTCACTGTAAACCCACTTCAATATTCCTGGCTGCCTCTACACACGCGTGTTCTGTTTTCCCTTGAACCAGTGCTGACATCCTTCTGGTTCCTCCATTCATTCATGAGTTTTTGACACGCAGTCACTTTATATTTGTGTGAACGCCAGGGTTTTACTTTATAAACAAATGTTTCTTTAACACCCAGTAATGCTTGGAGGTGAACATGGTCTCTGGGATTTCTGTCTCCACCCGTTCTGCCGTGAGCAGGAATCTGAGACCCCTCAGTGCCTCCGAGTATAAAGCTCTGTTTGAAGTGCATAGTGCGACCTCCAAGTATCTGAGTTCCTTCCAAATTTCCTCTGGTGATTGAGTTAAGTTTCAAAGCATTGTGGTCTTAAACTATGCAGGGAATGATCCCAGTCTTCTGGTGCTGGTTGAGACCTGATTGGTGACCTAGTATGTGATCCCTTCTGGAGAATGTTCCATGTGCCCTCGAGGGGAACGTGTATCTTGTTGCTTTAGGATAGAATGTTCTGAATGTATCTGTGAAGTCCATCTGGTCCAGTGGGTCACTCAAAGCCCTTATTTCCTTATTGATCTTTTGCTTAGATAATCTGTCTATTGCTGTGAGTGGGGTGTTAAAGTCCCCTACCGTTATTGTATTATCGATGTGTTTCTTTAATTTTGTTATTAATTGCTTTATATAATTGGCTGCTCCCCAAGTTAGGGGCATAAATATTTACAACTGTTGGATCTTCTTGTTGGATAGACCCTTTAATTATGATATGGTGCACCTCTTTATCTTTTATTACAGTCTTTGGTTTAAAATCGAATTTGTCTGGCATCAGGGTTGCTACCCCAGATTTCTTTTGAGATCCATTAAAGAGCATCCTACTAAAGAATAAATGGACCAACCAGGAAACCAAAGAAGAATTTACAAAATTCATGGAACCAAGTGAAAATGAAAACACATCTCTTCAAAACCTTTGAGATGCAGCCAAGGTGGTCCTCAGAGGGAAGTCTAGAGCAATACAAGGCTTTCTCAAGAAACAGGAAAATACACAACCTAACCTTACACCCAACGGAGCTGGAGAGAGAACAGCAAATAAAGCCTAAACCCAGCAGGAGGAGAGAAATAATAAAGATGAGAGCAGAGAGCAATGCAGTAGAAACCAAAAGAACAGTAGAACAGATCAACAAAACTAAGAGCCGGTTCTTTGAAAGAATTAATAAGATCGAAGTGCGTACTTCATAAATGCCACTGTTCTTGAGAAGAAGGTGGCTTAGTGAGGGTCTTTGGACACCTGCACTTGATTCACTTGCTGGTTTCTTGCATGAGAAGGATGAGTTGGCTGACGGGAACCATGACTTGCTCTTGTCCCTGCCAACTTCTCCTTGAAATAAACCACGGGTATGAGTTTGCTTTCCTGCTTATCCTTTTAACTGGATCTCCTCCTTCAACTCTTTCCAGAGTAGTTCCGACAGGTGGATGAATGGAGGGTCTCAGAAAATGGAGACAGAGCCTCCTGGACACTCTGCCAGTGGAACAGGCAGCAGGAGATCCATCTAACATCCTGTTTGTACCTTAGATTGACCTCAGTGAGACACGAGCCCTAAACATGTTCTGTTAAAGCCCAAGAACTCAGCAGCATGGGCTTGCAATTGGTAGTGGAGGTTTTTGTTCTCAGTAGCCAGTTAGCTCAGTAATTCACGCTAACAGCCCATTGGAACAACAACCTAACTTTGTTTGGAATCGCGTAATTTGTGTATTATTTTTAAAAGGAGAGACATGAGTAAACTGGCAGATTTCTCCCTCTTTTCAATTACTATGTAACCTCTCACTCTCTCTCTTTTTTTTTTCTTTAAAAGCCCAGGCCCCCTAACAGGAAATAGGATTAAGTGAATAAATTCCAGTCCCCCGAGAAGACAAGAGACCACCCTTTAGAGCAGTCTGGCCAGCCTCTCGGTAAACGCAAGCGACCTGTGCCCTCTCTAAAAAGTCGTCACTCAGCTCTGCTCTGAGTGGTGCAGTTTTTCATCTCATTTCTAGGTTCATTTTGCATCTATGTTTCGCCCACAGGAGTATACTCTATTAACAAGCATTTAATTTTTTTTTCCAATTGTAAATTGGATCATATTCATTGTGGGAAAACAATACAGAAAAGTGTAAAGCAGAGATTGAACCTAAGACACAGGGCTACTACCCAGTTAATGGTGATGTTTTCTTTTTTTTCAGTCTTGGTTTTCTGAAAACAAGATATATTTGTGACTAATTTTGTGCTCCCTCTGTGAGATTTCTCCTGCTTTTCCTATACTAAAGCAGGTACAGGCCCCTGATCTTCCCTGACAGGGAGGAGCTCGAGGAAGGGGCAGGACAGCCGGCTGACACTGCCGACGCCCCTCCCTCTGCACATCAGTGCTTACTGATGGAAACAAAGAAAAGCTTCTCTGGGCCAGTGAGGGACTGTCCAGCCCCAGGGATCTGGAATGGCCCCAACCTGGGCTCCTCCTGGCAGAATGGGCAGGTATGGTCAGACCTCCTCAGGTGGTGCTTCCAGAACTGCAATGAGCATGAGAACCGCCTAGGGATCTGGTGGAGATGCAGCTTCTGCTCTAGTGTTTCCCGAGCCACGTGCACGCTGCCGGTCCAGGCTGGAGTGGTGGGCGCTAGGGGGTGGTCCAAGGCTGTTCTTGGGGATCTTGGCACGAGGTCCTTCCGCATGCCTGACCTTTCCCAATCCTCACAGAAAGCCCAGAGCAGCAGATTTGATAGAATGACAGGGCCTTGGTGATGAGCACTTGGGGATAATCTCCGTGCACACATGAGCAAAGACACTTGGGTCCTGGGTGAGACCCAGAGCCTTGACAAAATCCTAGGGCGCTGGAGGGGGAAGATCTGAGCCTGGCCTAAGGCCACATTTCTTTCTTTCTTTCTTTCTTTCTTTCTTTCTTTCTTTCTTTCTTTCTTTCTTTCTTTCTTTCTTTTTCTTTCTTTCTCTTTAAAGATTTTATTTATTTATTCATGAGACACACACACACACACACACACACAGAGGCAGAGCCACAGGCAGAGGGAGAAGCAGGCTCCATGCAGGGAGCCCAACGCGGGAATCGATCCTGGGACCCCAGGACCACACCTTGGGCCAAAGGCAGGCACTAAACCGCTGAGCCACCCGGCTGCCCCAAGGCCACGTTTCTTAACAGCTCGGCAGGATTGGGGCTTAGAGGTAAAATGAAGTTGATTTATGAAAAATAAAGAAGGGTGCACTTTCTTACCTCCCTGAATTTGTGGGCTGAAATTTTTTCATGGTATATTTATAATGTACATTTAAATAAATTCACAGCGTGAATCCTGTTTTCCTCTGACTTATGATATCATGAACTCTTTCCCGGCTCATGAAATATTCTCTGAAAACAACACCTTTAATAATTCTGCTCTGGGACAGGAAGGACACGGTCCATTATGTTCAGCCCTGTGTCTTCAACACTCAGCACGGTGTCCGGCACAGGGTAGGTGCTCAAGGATTATTTGTTGGTCTGTGCAAGATGCAAGCATGGACATGCCTCGATGGGTGAGTTCTTTGCCATTGGCCACTTAGATTGCTTTCAGTTTCATAAATAATACCATGGTGGACATTCTTTTTTAAATTTATTTTTAAAGATTTTATTTATTCCTGAGAGACACAGAGAGAGAGGCAGAGACACAGAGGGAGAGGCAGCCTGATGTGGGACTCGATCCCAGAACCCCGGGATCACCCCCTGAGCCAAAGGCAGATGCTCAACCACTGAGCCACCCAGGGGTCCCCATGGTGGACATTCTTGATGATAACCTTTGTGAACCGCCTTGATTATTTCTTTAGATATTGGTACACACGGATTTACTGGTCAGTGGGGGTGTGTAATTTAAATATCTAGGATGTTTACTGAAAACCTGCCTTTGGATATATACCAATTTACATTGCCATCAGCAGTAATGCTCTTGCCAGTGCTGGGATCGTCATTTAAGAAAAGCAAAAATGTTGCTAGGCCTACAGGATATCTTATTTTTGTTTGAATGAACATTTCTTTGATTCCTAGTGAAGCGGAGCAATTGTTTTGAGTGTCTTATTGATCTTCGTATCTCTTCTTTAGTCAGTGAGGCCACTTGGGTGTTTGTCCTTTGTTCCGTGGGCTGTACCAGCATATCTCATTGGAGGGGTGAATATGATTCATCTTTCATTTTCTCACCCGACACCTTTGCTCATAGCTCTGGTCAGAAACACAGAATATAGACATAAATTTAACTTAATACGAAGCAGGTGCTTCTTGAAACCGTCCAAAGGGTTAAAGCACTGAAATACAGCTCTTGGGTTTCCCAAGGCTAGCTGAGCTGAGCGGCCTGTGTGAAATCACAATTTACAGATTGGGGGAGAGGAAGGATTTTTCACTGTCACATGGCGCCATCTAGTAGTGCTTGAAGACAGTGCAGGATCAAAAACTCCGTTTGGGGTTAAAACAGCTCTTTCAACCTTTGGGTCCTTTTTTTTTTTAAAAAAAAAAAGATTTTATTTATTTATTCATGAGAGGGAGAGAGAGAGAGAGAGAGAGAGAGAGAGAGAGAGATAGAGAGAGAGGCAGAGACACAGGCAGAAGGAGGAGCAGGCTCCATGCAGGGAGCCCGACGCGGGACTCGATCCCAGGTCTCCAGGATCACACCCTGGGCTGAAGGCAGCCCTAAACTGCTGAGCCACCCCTGGGATCCCCAAGCTTTGTGTCTTAAAGTCCTGGGGCCCTGCAGTTTCTACTTCGTGACTGGCATAGCTCCGCTGCGGGACTCCCCCCTCTTCATTCCTTATTCCACCCTCTACATTGCAGGGTGACTGTTCTAGAACTGTGCCAGTCCTCTGTTTAAATCCGTCTCAAGGGACTCCTGGGTGACTCAGCGGTTGAGCCTCTGCCTTTGGCTCAGGGCATGATCCTGGAGTCCTGGGATCGAGTCCCACATCGGGCTCCCAGCAAGGAGCCTGTTTCTCCCTCTGCCTCTCTCTCTCTCTGTGTGTGTCTCTCATGGATAAATAAATAAAATCTTTAAAAAATTATTAAAAAATTTAAAAAAATCCATCTCAATAGCTCGTGGTTGTTATTACGGTAAACTTAATCTCTTAACCGGGTTTATTAAGTCTTCCACGATCGGTCTAGGTCAGGGGTGGTGAACTTTCTCTGTGAGGGGTCAGATGGTAAATATTTTGGATGTGGGGGGCACACGGTCTTTGTTGTGACTTCTCAGCTCTTGACTGCAACCCCCGGACCGGCGGCTTTCCCACCCCAACCTTCCTGCTCTACGTTGTCTGGCTGCTCTGAGGTTTCCTGTGCTTCCATCTCAGATGTTCAGAGACCCAGGGTCCCTGTCCAGGTATGAGCAGAGCGGGGACAACGAGCCTGGTTGGAGATCAGAGCTAAAAAAAAAAAAAAAAAAAAAAAAAGAAATTATGCAATCTTCAGAGGCTTCTCTGGCTTACACGTAAACTGGAGCCCCTCACAGGGCAGGCTCGGGCCAGTGTTCCTCTGCGTGTTTACGCGCAGACCCATTAACATTGGTGGGACCCAAGTCAAGAGGACGGATGGAGGCCCACCTGCTAGGTGTCTCAATATTCAAAGTTCAGAAATTAAGCTAATAACTGCTAATTCAAATGGGCTCTGTCCTGCTGCTACCTTGACATACACACCTTCATGGGAAGAACCATAAACACATCCAAAAGTAATATTCGATAATAAGAGCCAAAATTCAGGTTTCGTATGATCGAGTTGGCACATTACCAAGATGATGAAATTTTATTATTATCCTTCTTGTCTGCATGTGCCCTCCCTGGGCTGGCAATGTCTGGGGGTTGAGTAGTAAAATAAAGATAGATGTAACACGTCAATTATATTTATTCCACAGTATTTCTTTTGGCCTCCTTTTCAGCCAAACTACTGTGTTGTTGAAGTTAAGATTTTCACATGACCTCTCTTGTGTTGGCTGCGAAGGCGTGTGGTGCTCTTCCAAGAGTGCTTCCAGGCCCCCAGTGGCAGAGACTGGTATGTTTAAACGGTCTCCAGTGGGTGATGAGGTAAGACAGATAGGGTGGATCTTACTGTCAATTCCACGCCAGTCTCCACACTCTTTGGTAACAAATGCAACACATTCGCTACGCTCACACTTTGAGAATCATGGAAAGAAGTTTTATGAAGTACTTTTATTTTTTAACTAATTAATTAGAGAGAGAATGAGAATGAGCAAGGGGAAGGGGGAGGGAGAAGGAGAGAGAATCCCGAGCCGACTCTGTGCTGAGCCCAGAGCCCAACATGGGGCTCCATCTCATGACCCCGAGATCATGACCTGAGCCAAAACCAAGAGTCGGCCGCTTAACCCACCGAGCCACCGAGGGGCCCCTACAAAGTACTTTTAAAGCAAAGTATAGCAAGTTGAGTATATTACATAGAACTACAAATTAAAATAAGCAAAATTTAAGAATCTCATAGATAGGGCAGCCCAGGTGGCTCAGCGGTTTAGCGCTGCCTTCGGCCCAGGGTGTGATCCTGGAGACCCGGGATTGAATCCCACGTCAGGCTCCCTGCATGGAGCCTGCTCCTCCCTCTGCCTGTGTCTCTGCCTCTCTCTCTCTGTCTCTGTCTCTCAAGAATAAATAAAATCTTTTTTTTTTTTAAAAAGAATCTCATAGTTTCATCCCAAAACATTACAAATATCTGCTTACAGTAAAAGACAAAAATTATAATTGATGTATATGATAATTTGAAACAAAATTATTTAAGGAAAAATCACATTTAGAATTTGAGAATTTAATAAGATTTTAAACATTTTTTCCTTTCTTTTTTTTTTTCTTTAAAAAAAAAGATTAGTTATTTGACAGAGAGATAGAGCCAGAGACCACAAGCAGGGGCAGGGGGGCAGAAGGGAAAACGGCAGAGGGAGAGGGAACAGGCTCCCCACCGAGCAGGGAGCCCAAGGTGGGCCTCAATCCCAGGACCCTGAGATCATGATCTGAACAGAAAGCAGACACTTAATGGACTGAACCACCCAGGAGCCCCAAAGATTTTTCATAAAAATGTTGTAATTAAGTGTTTTAAGTGTAAGTAAATCTGTTCATGGTTCTCAGGTGTCCACCTGGTTGCTTCACTGCCTCTTGTCTGGACACACATGTAAGCGTGCACACGCACACATGTGTGAGATTGCTGGGAGACAGCTCACATTGCCAAATGCTCTCCAGCCACCATGTGCACTGCTTTGGTCACCTCCCAGTTGATAAGTTTATCTGGTTGACAGGAGATGTAAGGAAATGCGTGCTTGACACCTGCATTTGGTATCCATTGCACAGAAATGCGTTGAGGAGAAGCGCTGGTCAGCCTAGCTAATTTCCCTTTTATCTATATGTTCTTTTGTTCAAACTCCCTACACTCTGTCTCTGAGGCTGCACAACCCCCAAAACTTCACTGGATACCTGGGTTCCAGTGCCTCCTGGATTAAGGACCAGGGCAAGAGCTACCGAGGAGCATTTCCTGGGGCCCTAAACAGTGTCAGTCATGGGAGCCAATGGTTTCATGGTGAGCCTGAGTGACATGATTCTCTCCTGCACCCGTGTGATGACGACTGTTTGCGTCTGTGACATGTAGGGCCTGCAGAGCTGAGAGCAGGGGCTCTGTTACTCAGGTCTGAGCATGAAATGGATGACACGCATGACAGATTTCTTTTGAAGCTTGCTTTTCTCTTTGGCTCCAGTGCAAGAGGAGAGTCACCTAGAGTCCCCCTAAAGTGAGGGGAGAGGAGGGAAGAGGATCCTAGGGGGGGATGACTTTGAGATGGTCTCCTGCCCAGCCTTGTCCTTGGACTGATTGACACCCCAGGAGCAGAGGGCACAGCCAGAAGCCGAGTGAGCTATTTTCTTGTGATTTCTTGAGATATGAGGCTCAGCAATGCTGCTTTGGGCTTTGGAGGACCAGAGGAAACTCTGATGTTCTTTCATCTCCTACTTGTGGGGCCACCCTGAGCCACTAGGAATTGGTAGTGTGGACAGTCCCACTGTAGCAGGTATTGTTCCTTTTGAGGAGGATGCCAGCCATGGTGGCAGCGAAGAGGCACTTCACAAAGGACAGTGGATTTCTTTATGTTGAAGGCCATGAAAGATCATGGGAACCTGATGTTGGAGCCCTCAGGGACCCCTAGACATAGGGTTGGTGTTGGTGGGTTACGAAGGGGAATGTGGATATCTGCTGTGGGCAGGTGGGGCAGCTTATTAGCGACATTTGTATGACTGACTTCCACTGGACCATCTCCCCACTGGAGGAGCAGGGGGGCATCCACATGATACTGGGCAGCCACACCTGAGCAGGTGCTATTTCAGGCTTCGTAAGAAGGAGCCACATTTTAGTTCCAGGAAGAATCTTGCAGAAGCGGGGAGACTGGGTATGGTCTGTGGAGAGCAAATATATCTGAGGGGTGCCATAGGCAGACAAATGGCCTCAAAAGGTGTCTTTGTCCTAATCCTTGGGTCCTGTGACTAATTTAGGTTACATGGTAAAGGCGAACCAAGACAGCAGATAGAATTAAAACAGGGAGAGGAGGGGTGCCTGGGTGGCTCAGGTGGTTAAGCGTCTGTCTTAAGGTCATGATCCCGGGTCCTGGGATCGAGTCCTGAGTCAAGCTCCCTGCTCAATATGGAGTCTGCTTCTCCCTTTGCCCCTCCCCCTTCGTGTTCTCTCTCTCTCTTAAATAAATAAAACATTAAAAAAAACAGGGAGAAAATCTTGGATTATCCAGTTGGGCCCAGTACAATCACAAAGGTCCTTGAAAGCAGAGGAGGAGGCAAAAGGGAAGGTCAGAGAAAGAGACATCACAACAGGACCCTGGCAGGGCAGAGCAAGGCTATATTGTTGACTCTAGAGGTGGAGTGTCTAGAAGCTGGACAAGGCAAGCAAAGAGATCCCCCGCGGGAGCCTCAGGAAAGGAGCGTGGCCTTGCCACATCTTGATCCAAGCCCATGGGGACCTGTTTTGGACTTTTGACCTGCAGAACTATAGAAGGTAATGAATTTTGTTGTTTTAAGCTTCCAAGCTTGTGGCAATTTGTTACAGCAGCAGTAGGAAACAAATATTAATAAAAATCACCTGCTCTGGGATTTGCCTATATCCAGAACTGGTTGCTTCTTCAAAGGTTCATTGGAGGGTTCCTTGGGTGCCCTGGGTCCCTGCACAGTCCCCTGACATGGGTGGTGTGCTCACAGTTGCTGCTGGCAAGCCCCTTTCCTCAGTTCTGGCTCTGGGGCAGAGGGAGGTACGTCCTGCAGCCTCTTATTGCTCTGCTTCCTTGCCTTGCATCCAGGCTGTTGACAGAGATCCTTCCAGATGGTTCCAGGTTCTCTGTGGGGACCCCTGCTGTCTCTCGGGAAGGATACATCCTCGTCATGCCAGGCAGTAGGGATGTGGCTTCTTCTGCTGCCTTCTCTTCTTGCTGTCACATGCCCACAGCTCAGTACCTCATGCACCCCAGAAGACTTGGGGTGAGCTGTCTGGATAATTCCTTCAAGCCTGTTTTCCAGGCTGGAGGTGAGTGAGAGCACCAGCCTCTGCCTCCAACAGGCCCATTGCCAGGGAGCCTCCCTTTAGCTCCTCCATAAAGATGATCGACGACATCTGCTGATGGCCTGCTCTGTGCATGATCTCCTGGAGTCTTTATAATGATCCCGGGAGGCCGCAGAATCGGTGACCGAGGCACGGGAGGATCAAGTTACCCATCTGTGGTCACAGGCATGTCCGAGGCGGGATCTGAACCCTGGAGGCTGTCCTCGTTGGCACCGTCGCCACGGCTTGCATCCTTCCCGTGCCAGGTGTGGCCCCTGCTCCACTGCACGCTCCTGTGGAGCTAGTGACTGGAGGCTCTGACGCAACCCACGAGTGAGCCAGTGCCTGCAGCCCAGTCCTCCAACGCCTTGGCCAGCGCTTCCTCCATAGCCAGCACCATCTTGACCCACAGCACTGGAATTTGGCATCTAAAAGGGCTGTTTGGTGGCCCGACTCACCGGTGGTCCATCCTCTGCCAATCACCATGTTCTGACCTCTTTTGTGCTGTTTGGGTCCAGTGGGAAGGCTCACCTCCAGCTTCCAGAGAGCTCGTTGGGGAGGCATCAGTTTGTTTTACCAAGATCAGCTCCAAATCTGGGGCTGGGGTTTCCTTTGACCTTCTGGATTGCACTTCACTGTAGAAATATTCACAATGGAGTCTCCTCTGTATGAAGGAAAGATACATTTGCTTGGAGAGTAGTTTAATGTCCAGCCAAAGATGACAACGCCTTCGCCTTCTGATTTTTCTTCCAGTCTAAGAAATCTCCTTTGTTTGGGGAGCCTCGCCTTCTCCCGTGCCTGGCAACAAGATGCGGTAAAATTTGGTGCCACTTGTGGCACAGTCACTTCTTTGCATCTCTGGGAGTTGCTTGTGAGGAACCCAGGGAGGGGACAGCTTTTTCTTTGCTAATGAAGTGCTGGTGAATTTGGGCAATTAGTGGAGACAGTCCACCCACGCTGCCAGACCCTGGTTCAAATGTCCTTAAAACAAATAACTAATATTTGCAGGCCTGCTTCTTAATTAAGAAGGGATTTTGCCAGAGGGGAAACACCACCTGAATTCCCATGATGCTCTTCCCGCTTCAAGGGGTGGCCTGTAGTCTTCTAGACTAAGTAGGTCGTCCTCTAAAGGCTTCCTAAAAAAAAAAAAAAAAAAAAAAAAAAAAGGGAAAAGTTGTTCTTGATCCTTTATCAGTAGAAGAGAGGAAATGAATCTGCAGTATCCACGAAGGATGCCAGGAGATAACTCTAATTTTTCACATTCTAATGGCTTCATGGTCATGCTGCTCATTACCGTGTGAAAGCCAAGAGCCGTGGCTGGGGAGTTAATTACTGATCTGAGATAGTTTCAGAAAACATTGTAAAGAACTTGCCTGGCGACAGATAATGACAATAATTGATAGTTGGGAGAAGGTGATTTTGTACAATGGAAGTTCTGGCTGTAAACAATAACATCCATCTATTTCCAGACTGAGAGGATTCAGAAGACCTGGCATAGATTATCTTGTCGCAGGCAGATGTGCCTCAAGGAGTTACAGCACTGCAAGGTGAAGAGAGGGAGTAAGATTCGAGAAAAAACTCCTTCGAATCTCCTTTCATCTGGGTAACTTGACTCACCCTCACTGGATAATGCAATCAGTTCTTCAGTTCATCTCTTGGGTAGAAATACAATGGCAAATGTAAGTAGAAACGTAATTGGAGAATAAGAAAAGCACTTTAAATGGTGAACAGTGTTTTAAGGGCTTATTCTG